CGGGGGCTGCATTCAGCCCCCGAGCCTGAGGTTCCCCACCCCTGCTTTAAGCAAACAAGAATGTTCAATGTGGCATAACTTATTTGCATAGATGATCTTTGAAAACTACTTCTGGTCCACAAAACTGGGTGCTGGCTTAGTCAGCTACTCAAATACTAACATGTTAGCTCATGCTTGGTCACAACAAGTTTGTTTTCCATAATTGTGTAATTATGTGTAATTTCAAGGAAAAGGACTATGAAATGCAATCATTAACAAGCACACAGGACACGGGACAAGAACACTTGCCTTAATTATTGGTAAGCTTCAGAAAAACTGAAAGCACCAATTTACAAAGTACCTCTATGGCTTTAGGACTAAGAAGCTTCTTTCTCCTTACTGCTTAAGGTTTGGCTCCATTAGTTTACAACCAAGACAGTGTACCCAGCACGTCTCAGGTTTTAGAATGGTTTGGGAACAAAGTTAAGGTCACATTTACCCTGTAAGTTGGAATTGTGTTGCAACTGTGTCCTTTGATTTGATTGTAATGTAGCTGGCTACACAGCTAATTAAATCTCATCAACTTCCCAGAGTAAACCACCAGATGTTACTTAAGTACAGTTTAAAGGGAGTTTTGTTGAAAACAGGTTATGACATGGTTTTGCCAACAAGGACAGAACCTTTTCTGTGTTATAAAAAGACTTTAAAAATTACTTTAGCCCAGGATAAACATTAACACAGGTGTTACCAGGTGCTAAAACTATTTAAAATTTCGTTGTAAACCATAGCTAAAATCCCTTAGATACTGGAATATCTACTATACAGGGACCCAGATAAAAAAAAACAAACAAACAACAATAGTCCTCTGATATGGTTGACACCCCAGTCATTCAGCATACATCACAGATGTTTTGACTATCTTTTTGAGACATTATGCAGCTCTGCTTAGTTGCAGACATTAGCAGGGTTTAGGAATAGAGTTAAAATGTGATTCAGTCCTGTCTGTTCTGCAAATCAAAATTGTATATTAACTTTGTTAGGACTACTTTGCTGCAAAAGGATCCTCAAACAAATACACTTTCTCCAAAGCAGATAGGTTATTAGAGAGATACATTCCATAAACAGGAATATGAAACCATTAAATCTCACTTTTAATGATATTTTAAATTACGGCAAGACCTTTCTAGAGAGAATTATGTTTAAACATGAGCTCTAGGAAGTTGGTAACATGCGTTCTTAAAGCTCATGGCTCTATATGCCTTCAACTCTGTTTGGGGGAGCAAAGGACTGGGAACAAGAATAAAATAGGTCCTTTGCATGCTAAAGGGGGGAGTGGTACCAAAGTGACATACCTCCCATTCATAAGTCTGTCTGTATTAACCGTGTATTTCTAAACCACCTTTCTCTGTAGTATTCAGGTAGACAATGCCTGTTTATATAAGCCGTTGGCTTTTGGAACATATTTTTATCTCCTCTTAGACTCTTCAGTATTTCCGGGACTTTGCTGGGGCAGGAGAGGCAGCAGCTGGGTTTCATCTCTCATTCAAAACTAGCAGATATTTTAATGCTGCTTGCAACTTTATCTTATCCTCACACTTAAAACTCCCTGAAATGAAGAGTTCTGTACAGGTGCAGGGAAGCCTAGGGGAGGAAAAAAAGAGGTCAGCAGCAATACCCAGGGCCCAACAAAACTGCAGAAACAGCTAACATCCTTTGCTGAGACATTAACATACGCTTATGAATGTCAGCCTCCATAGTGCTTATACACTAAGTCTTCTGCCTGCTCCCTGGGCCTAAGGTGTCAATTCTTCCTCAGCTGTAGAAACAATCCATCAGAAACTTCAGGAGTTTCATGTACACTTTCCCACCCCATCCCTGTGTTTTTCTACTTGTGAGGGAAAATATAAACAAGAATCTACTCTGCTAATGGTACGTTACACCTGCTGTGCTTTATGGTTAGGTGCTATTCACAGTTCCATATACTCTGACTCTGACTCTGTGTGTGACCTAGTCCAAGACAAGCCTTTGAATGCAACACTTTATAACTAACCATCTCCAAGATGTGGATGCTATTTCCTTATTTCACAAATGTGCTGTGAGGCTTAGAATGGTAGAATTAGAACGTTTCAGATAAATGGGACTTTCACTGCAAGGTATAATTACATTTTATATTGCCAGGGGTAAGACTTGTGACTCCACATATGGTACTTATGCACAATTACTTGTCTATCTAATCTGAGGACCTGTTCTATTTCTCTCCATTTTATGGGCTTGATCCTATTACCTTTACTGATATGAGTAATGCCCACTGAGTCTAATGGCACTACTCATGTACTAAATGAGTACTGCATGACCAAGCCCTTCAAAGATCTGTACATATGAATTCCAAAATGTCTTACAAACAAATCAACCTCCAATTTTCACTTTTTTTTTCTTTTAAAGACATGAGATTCTCTCGAACTCAAGTGTAGAGAATCTCAAAGTTACAGTTTTAGGAGCACATTCTGACCTTAGTATCTCTGCACATTTCTAATGACACCAAGAGGAATTCTGTGCCTTTTTCCAAAGCCGCTCGTACTCTCCATTTCTTTCTCCCCCACTCTGCTAACTCAAACTACCCTCCTAAACAGTGTCCCATAGCCTGAAATCAAGCAGAGAAAGGTGAAGTTAAAAGCTAAAAGTGGTTTAATGCAAGATTAAAAATCTGGGTTTAGGTAACTTTCTCTTGATTTTTAGCAAACAAGGGCTCTTTATAGGTGTAAAAACATTGTGATTTTCGTTATTTAAATACGCAACACCTGCAAAACTCTATACATATCTGGGGAATTATATGCAGGGTCTACATATTCTTAACACTAGTTCACTCGTAACGGATTCATCATCTTAGCAGAAGCTGCAGCCTGGTACAGTGTGCTCCAATCATGCTCCTCAGCCAACCTTAGAGCAGAATGGCCCTTCCTCATTTACCAATAGTTATTTCTTGCATAAGATTCCCATCTGTGATACTCCATCACATGTCTGGGGGGGACCGCAGGGTTTCCTCTGTGGTTTCTCTTGCAAACAACGGGTGCATGTGGCGCCAGCATTGCCAGTAGCCAGGGAGTATTTCATCTACTCCCTCTGCAGGAGCCCAGCAAATAATTGGCCATGAGCAGAAAGAACTGGTTGCAGCTGGATTCTCCAGTGTCCTTCCCCTGGATAAGAGTGGCTCCTCACCAGATGCGAAAGTAAGGCTGTGTACCGCTGTGCGGGCAAGAGTCAGCTGGGACAATCTGCCGAACGCTCCGCTATAGGGGTGCGCAATGCAGCATGTTCACGGAGCTGGGCTCCCATGGTTTCTGCAGTGGGCTGGCACTTGTGCTCCCGCACATGCAGCTACGTGAGGCAGGCATGTGTGAAGGGGGCTGCATGGGAACACGCTGTCAGGGTGGGGTTCGAGCTCCCAGCCACAGTCTTAGTGCATTCATGCCTGTCCTGCTGCCCCTCTCTTGCTGGATGCTGAGCAGCACACATGCATGCACTGCTGCCAGCAGCCACTGGGAAAAAGCCAGGGGAAAGGAGCAGAGGCCAGGGGGTCTCTT